TGTTCAAGGCTTGAAGGCATTCCCAGTAATTTAGATGCTTTACTGGCTCAATGTGTGCCATAAATGATCTCTGTATTTGTTCCAGCTCTGCTATTTCTCCTGCTATGATTGTGGCAGTCAGCACTGAGCAATATTCTAAATGAGGGAACACTAGCGATTTGAAGAGTCACCATCGGCATTATTTCCCTCGTTTTGAAAGTTCTCAAAACCCACACCGTCTTGACTTATGATCTTTGTCTTGCTATGGTCTTTAAAAGAAGGGTCAGCTGACATGATTATTCCCAGGTCTTTCATGTGTTCCTTTCGTTCTATTTGGTGACCCTCTTGAGTTTTGTATATAGTGTTCCTTTTGAGTTCTTCATTCTTTCCATATTTAAGCAGCTGGAACTTATCACCATTGAACGACACGTTGTTCTCCACTGCCCACTGGAAAACCCTGCTTGTCTTCCTGTAATTTTTCAGTATCCTCTACCATAGTGACTTTCATGCTTATTTTAGTGTCATCTGCAAATGATACAAAAGTGTGATGGGTGTTTTTATCTATGTCTGCTATGAGGATGAGAAACAGCAGAGGTGCCAGGACAGTGCCTTGGGGCACTGAGCTTTTTACCCTGCTGATGCTGGATCTTGCTCTGTTTACTACTACTCTGAGTGTTGTGTGTGTTAGGAACCCACAAATCCATCTGCCCACCTTCCCCATAATGCCCATGGCCCTCATTTTGTGAACTATCACTCCATGATCACATTTGTCAAACGCCTTTGCAAAATCTGTGTAAATCACATATGCATTTTGGTCGTCTTCCAACGCCTCCGTGATTATGTCATAATGATTCGGCAACTGTGACAGGCATGATTGTCCTGCTCTAAAATCATGCTGGTTCAGGTTATGCTGGTCCATGAAATTTGCCATCTCATCACTCTTTCGAAGATTTTTATGATGTGAAAAGTTAGGGCTACTGGTCTGTAATTTTTAGCTAGTGCTCAACCACCTCCCTTATGCAAAGGAGTTATGTCTGTACTCTAAGTCCTCTGGTATTTCACCTAGATCTAAGCTTTTTCTCCAAAGAATACCGAGTGCTTGTGCTAGTGGTACTTTGCACTTCTTTATAAACAGGGCTTTTCATGAATCTGGTCCAGGCGCTGAGTGAGTGGGCATGTTATCCATTTCTTTTTTGAAATCTATGGGATTTGTACTAATGTCAATTAGTTGGTCTGTGCGGCCTTCTGCTGGAGTGAAAAAAGTTTTTGCATTTTCTACCTTGATGTCATTTAGTGGGTTGCTGAACACTGACTCATACTATTCTTTTAGGACTTCACTCATTTCCTGTTCACTAGTCAGTATACGAATCTCCTCTCAATAATGGTCCAATTCTACAGGTAGTTCTAAGCTTGAATTCTGCATAGGAATAGAAATACTTCAGGTTTCTTGCAATATCCTGTATTCTATATTCTGGCCTTCTACCCTTCTCACTGCAGTATAACTTTTCAATGGTCAAAGTTGGACCAAAACAGTCATGAGTTTCCCTTTTCTGGGTGTGGGTTATATATTTCATACTACTTTTATTTTGATGCTTTATCTCCCTAGCATATTATCTTCTTTTGTTGCTATTAGTTAAATCTTGAGACATCTTTGAACTGAATTAAGCAAACAGTTACATGGTTCTTTTTTTTTTTTTGTCTTCATGAACTGCAGGTAATATTAAAACTAGAACTTCTCTCAAGCCTGCCATTAATTTTTTCATTACTTATAATAGGAATATAAACAGGAATATAATTTAACCAAATTTGTACTTTATCAACAAATCATCTCTAAATGAACTATCAGTTTGTTAACAGTCCTCTTGGACTTTTAATACTACTACTACTATGGGATACTGGTAGGTGAACACTTGATACAGAAAATATCCTGCTGTTACATCATGTTGCAGTTGATAGTCCAATAAAAACTGCATCACCATAGAGAAAGTTTATGTCTTGCATTACAATTTACAACATTACAATGCTTTCCACCTTTCGTTTGGTCACACCATATCTTTTTGGATACACAGCCCCTAATGCCTTACTGTCCCTGTACACAGTTATATTTGTTTTAAGTATTCTTGAGCCTAATGTTTGATTTAACACAATGGATTTTGATTATCCACCACAAACTGGTAAGGACTGCATTAAAATAAAAAATTCAGATAAAAGCATCAGACTTTTTGGTAAATTTTTACCTAGTTCAATAGAACATGTTGTGAGTACTGCAATATTGTATACACACATATTTTATCAAAAAAAATATATTAGAAAAAAATATTATCAACTGTTTTATCCAAAAAATGAGTTTACAACACAGGCACTAGACAACTATATAAAAAAAAATTATTAATACATTTTGACTAACACTGGAAAAAATGGCAAAATAATTTCAGTGATTTTTGGAAAATCAATTAAGGATATTTTTAGCAATATCTTCCAACTGGTTTGACTTTGTTAATTTGTTTTGGAAGTGACAGTTATTTCCCTACTGAATATCACTCTGAGGTTGTTAATATTAGTGTTCATGAGAAAGCCTATGGAAAATAAAATTGACAAGAAAAATACACTGAGCATACAGTAATTTCAAATAAATTATGTCTAGATTTAATTTTTTTTGTTTTGTTTTGTTTTTCAACAAGTCGGCCGTCTCCCACCGAGGCAGGGTGACCCAAAAAAGAAAGAAAATCCCCAAAAAGAAAATACGTTCATCATCATTCAACACTTTCACCACACTCACACATTATCACTGCTTTTGCAGAGGTGCTCAGAATACAACAGTTTAGAAGCATATACGTATAAAGATACACAACATATCCCTCCAAACTGCCAATATCCCAAACCCCTCCTTTAAAGTGCAGGCATTGTACTTCCCATTTCCAGGACTCGAGTCCGACTATATGAAAATAACCGGTTTCCCTGAATCCCTTCACTAAATATTACCCTGCTCACACTCCAACAGGTCGTCAGGTCCCAAGTATCATTCGTCTCCATTCACTCCTATAAAACACGCTCATGCACGCTTGCTGGAAGTCCAAGCCCCTTGCCCACAAAACCTCCTTTACCCCCTCTTTCCAACCCTTTCGAGGACGACCCCTACCCCTCCTTCCTTCCCCTATCGATTTATATGCTTTCCATGTCATTCTACTTTGATCCATTCTCTCTAAATGACCAAACCACCACAACAACCCCTCTTCTGCCCTCTGACTAATGCTTTTATTAACTCCACGCCTTCTCCTAATTTCCACACTCCGAATTTTCTGCATAATATTTACACCACACATTGCCCTTAGACAGGACATCTCCACTGCCTCCAACCGTCTCCTCGTTGCTGCATTTACCACCCAAGCTTCACATCCATATAAGAGTGTTGGTACTACTATACTTTCATACATTCCCTTCTTTGCCTCCATGGATAACATTTTTTGACTCCACATATACCTCAATGCACCACTCGCCTTTTTTCCCTCATCAATTCTATGATTAACCTCATCCTTCATAAACCCATCCGCCGACACGTCAACTCCCAAGCATCTGAAAACATTCACTTCTTCCATACTCCTCCTCCCCAATTTGATATCCAATTTTTCTTTATCTAAATCATTTGATACCCTCATCACCTTACTCTTTTCTATGTTCACTTTCAACTTTCTACCTTTACACACATTCTCAAACTCATCCACTAACCTTTGCAATTTTTCTTTAGAATCTCCCATAAGCACAGTATCATCAGCAAAAAGTAGCTGTGTCAGTTCCCATTTTGAATTTGATTCCCCATAATTTAATCTCACCCCTCTCCCGAACACCCTAGCATTTACTTCTTTTACAACCCCATCTATAAATATATTAAACAACCATGGTGACATTACACATCCCTGTCTAAGACCTACTTTTACCGGGAAGTAGTCTCCCTCTCTTCTACACACCCTAACCTGAGCCTCACTATCCTCATAAAAACTCTTTACAGCATTTAATAACTTACCACCTATTCTATGTACTTGCAACATCTGCCACATTGCTCTCCTATCCACTCTATCATATGCCTTTTCTAAATCCATAAATGCAATAAAAACTTCCCTACCTTTATCTAAATACTGTTCACATATATGCTTCAATGTAAACACTTGATCTACACATCCCCTACCCACTTATCAATTATAGAAAAAGTTTACCATTGAAAGATCATATATACACACTCCTAAGAAATTTAAATGTTAGATTGGTAAACTTCAAAAAAAACTTGAATGTACATAAATGGGGAAATGTTAAAAATGCCGTTCACAACATACGGTACATTATGCCAAGGCTGGAATGTGCTGTCGTCGTGTAGCATCTGTACCTAACCAAAAGACCGATACAAGTCCAAACACATTATACACAATAGTTCGCAGAGCTAAAAAGAATTAAACACTAACTGATAAAAGGAAAGATGGGGATAAAACCACATAATGTTGAAACTAAGATAAATGATGCCTTGCAAGGATAGTAGCTTTTTCAACACAGCAACAGAATACTGAATGGGATCCATGAAGAGAAAGCATTTATTACAACCACTAGAAATTTAATAATTCACATGACAAATTAAATCAGACACCAAGAGTACAGCCATAATCCTGTAACTACAAACAGCTAATCACACCGACGGAGAGAAACCAGAATAAGAACAGAACGATAAGGAGAAATCTCTCTTACCTCAACTTCAAATATTCTATGAATTTTGTGTAACACTACAGAAGACAAATGCATTCCTATACAATTTTAACAAATACCCTAAAAATAAACACAAATTTAACAAGCATTAAACAAATATTTATTAAATAAATATTTTAATAACTGGGAAAACAAAAATATGCACACATGCAATAAGAGAATGAAAAAATTAATACCATATTGACAATAGAGGATTCATAAAAAATACCTTGCACAGTATATAAAATTCTTACAATCATCATATTACATAACTGAAGTGGTACATCACTTACTAGACTTATTCTTTGCAGGTCGGGGCCGAAGAGGGCAGGGATTAGTGTGATCTGCTGATAGCTGTGCTGCCATGAGCTTCCTCCATTGATCCCTAGTCATGATTATGTCTCCTTCTTTTGAGGAATAATAATTACGATCACCTAGCTGAAGCGTGCAGGGTTCAAACACATTCAGCATTTTCACTCTGAAGAAATAAAACAAATACGTACAGTAAAATCTCAATTTAACAGGCCTCAATTCAACAAATTTCAGAATTAAGAGACAATCTGAATGGACAAAGTTTGTAACAATGGACAAAAATTGTCCATCACTGTTATGATCCACTGGGTATAATGATTTCAGAAAGAATGAACAGGATCATAATTTTTTTAAATTATTCATTATTAAGATCACAGCCAAACATCCTCATTATTCAGATTTAACAATATTACCAGACACTTTCTTCTTTCCTTCTTTATTAGTCCTTTAGAGCTTACACTGTGATAACATGCAAATTACAGTATAATAATTCCAATCCAAGCCTAATGAACCTGTATCATTGATTTTACTTTCTAAAGCTATCCAGGACTACTGGTCTATAAAAAGAAATACATTCCTTAAGGAAGCTAAGCCTTTCATTGGGATATCTTGAAGGGAGTTATGCCTTTCATGTGAATATCTTGAATAAATAAATGAAAAAGAACACAGTTAAGAGTAATGTGATGAGGGTATCAAACTATTTAGATAAAGAAAAATTGGATATCATACTGGAGGGAGGGAGCATGGAAGAAGTGAATGTTTTCAGATATTTGGGAGTTGACCTGTCAGTGGATGGTTTATCAAGGATGAGGTTAACCACAGAACTGTTGAGAGAAAAAGTGAGTAGTGCGTTGAGGTATCTGTGGAGACAAAAAAAAAAAGTTTTCCATAGAGGCAAAGAAGGGAATGTATGAGAGTATAATTGTACCAACACTCTTATATGGGTGTGAAGCTTGGGTTGCAAATGTTGCAGCAAGGAGGCAGCTGGAGGCAGTGATGTCATGTCTAAGGGCAATGCGAGGTGTAAATATTATGCAAACAATTCGTAGTGTGGAAATCAGGAGGTGTGGAGTTACTAAAAGCATTGGTCAGAGGGCTGAAGAGGGGTTGTTGAGATGGTTTGGTCATTTAGAGAGAATGGAACAAAGTAGAGTGACTTGGAGAGTGTATAAATCTGTAGGGGAAAAAGGCGAGGTAGGGGTCATCCTCCAAAAGGTTGGAGGGTGGGGGTAAAGGGGGGGCTGTGGGTGAGGGGCTTGGACTTCCAGCAAGTGTGCATGAGCGTGTTAGATGGAAGTGAATGAAGACAAATGGTTTTTGGGACCTGATGAGCTGTTGGAGTGTGAGCAGGGTAAATTTTGTGAAGGGATTCAGAGAAACCAGTTAGCAGGACTTGAATCCTGGAAATGGGAAGTATAATGCCTGCACTTTAAAGGAGGGGGTTTGGGATACTGGCAGTCTGGAGGGACTTCTAAACTGTCCTAACTGAGTGCCTCTGCAAAGACAGTGGTCATGTATGAGTGATGGTGAAAGTGTTGAATGATGATGAAATTTTTTTCTTTCTTTTTGGGTCACCCTGCCTTGGTGGGAAACAGCAGACGTGTTGAAAAAAAAAAAAACTTGATGGAGGCTACGCCTTTCATAGGGATATCTTGAAGGAAGTGAAAAAGAGAAGCAATTGTTGGCAAGTATACAAAGCTTTGCAATGCTTGCCATTTGTGCAGAATGACTCCCACCATTTATTTAAACACACTGATTATAATAACTTCATACTAGTGCATAATTATAGAATTTCTCATTGCAAATAAATTGCAAACCCAAAAATTCTCTTGTGTACCTTAAAAAATCATATTTATTTACATTAAAATTATTTGCTCCATTTCTAACTCAACAGACTGAACAGGATGATAAACATAAAATGGCAACAACACTTCCATATTGTTTGAATAAATTATAGCCACTCTGTTTCCCAGGATATATTTGAGAAGAAATAGGGAAGACTGCCAATAACTGAAACATCCAGAATTCTTTTTCAGACGTCATACTTATACCAAAGAGAATAGGGCACAACATGTACATCTGATAGATAGTACCTGGAATGATGGGGTTGGGCAGATATGTATACAGGTCCACCATCACAGATCCGGCAAACAGACATCCAGTTCCATCAGTTATTGGGCACTAATTTCGGCTAGAATAATTTCAAATTCCCAGAGTCACCACACCAACCTGCTGGTACTGTTTGGTGGTGCTACTTGCTGCATAAGTCATTCCAATTTCTTTTCCTCCATTTATTGCTATAACATGCTTACTTTTACATAGTACACTGTACATAAAAGATAAGGTGGCTTTGAAGACACTGTCGGTTGCCATAAGCTCAGTCTCGTGATGCAGGGGAATATGCATTATTATTATGCTAATATCAACACTACAGCTTATTTGTCTATCACAATTGATCTAATATGACATAATAAACAATATAAATAACATAAAAACATGTTAAATACCCCAGAATGAATAATATTTGGCATAATACCAAGAGGTTCAATGGAGGTATGAAGAGGATGTGGGATACAAGTACCATTCTCCTATCCTTGTCTTGGGGGTTTATATTAGAGAAAATGGAGTACAGCACAGGGCTGTGATATACACTCATAAATGCACCATAAAACGCACAAAAAAGTTATTTTCTCTATACAATTATCATACATAGCAGCATATGTGTAGAGAACCTAGAATAACCCAAAAAAGTCTAGTGGCTTATTTTTAGTACCTGGCTTGGGATTACCATATATGATTTTTGGTAAATATTTTTTTTTCTCAGTAGTTTGTTAGGCTATCTTATTGAAACTTGGGCAATGTACGATTGAAAGATGCTTCTTAACGTACAACAAAAATAAAAGAAATCGGACCATAAAGGAGTTCACTTCTCAGCCATTAGCTGCCCCATAGCGGTATAATTTCATATGGTTCTTACAGTTGTATTCTCATTTTTTTTGGTCTCATTTGATAGAATGGAAGATATATTACAGAAACAGATATGATTTGGATTGCTTTCACATCAAAAAGTACCTTGAAATTGAGCTCAAAGTAGCGGAAATGTTCAATTCTTTGGCGATGTTCAAGAGTAAACAAATGACGTTACCCTCCAATACGTGTCTGCCTGCCAGTCCAAATTCCAGTGTGCAGTCTCACAGATGGGTTGACATTATTTATACAATTATTACAATAATGCAATAGTCTGCATAACAGTAAATCTTCTATTGTGTGAATATAAATACCAAATGGTAAGCATGAGTAATATATGATGGGCCTGGAGCTGTGACTAATGAACAGAGAAAATGTTATTTTAGTGCCAGGAATGTCTGAATTGTTTATTCTGGACCCTATTTTTAAAGTGGCATCTTTTGAAATTTATGTGAAATTGGCCAAATTCCCAATTACTGACCACTTTATTGGATAGTTGAAATAGGTGAATAGGCAATTTCTTGTGCTCCAGTCAACAGAATAGAATTAAGTTTATTCAGGTATACACAAATACAGTTACATCGATTATCATACATAGAGTATGTATAGAGAACTGAGGATAACCCAAAAAAAGTCAGTGACTTATTTCCAGTACCTGGCTTGGGCTTGCCATATATGATTTTTGGTAAATATTTTTTTCTCAGTTGTTTGTTGAGCTATCTTATCGAAACTTGGACAATGTATGATGTTAAGATGCTTCTTAACGTACACCAAAAATGAAAGAAATCAGACCATAAATATTGGAATTCACTTCTCAGCCATTAGTCGCCTCTTAGCGGTATATTTTCGCATGGTTTTTATGGTTGTATTCTCGTTTTTGTGGTCTCATTTGAGACAAAGATATACATGTATTACAGAAACAGATATGATTTTGATTGCTTTCGCAATGAAAAGTACCTTGAAATTGAGCTCAAAGTAGCGGAAATGTTCATTTTTTCCGATGTTCAATGAACATTTTTGTGCAAGTCAAGTTGGTTAACTTTATTAAGTGTATTCTAACCTAACTACTCTGTAATCTGGCAAACTCAATAATCCAGCACACTACAGGTCCCAATGATGCCGGATTTATGATGGTGGACCTGTACAGATAACTGATGTGAAGGTTGTATAGATATATAGGAAGCAATGAATGAGAAAGTGACAGAAAATTTATGAATGAAAATGACAAAATGTATGAATGAATGAGAAAGTGACAAAATGTATGTTTAATTTTCTGAGAGACTAAAGAAAATGTAAATGAATCACTTCTGTAAAAGAAGAATTGTTACGTACAGTACTACAAATGATACCAAAAATGAAATAGCAAAATCATATAATAAATTACAATCCCTTATATTTACCTTTTCAAATCCTCTCCCTGAACAAGATATTTAGGCTGTTCCTTGTCTATATTTGGGTCATTGGAAAATGCACGACACTGCCATCGCACTCCAAGCTGCACTACCTGACAAAAGGGTAAAAGAAAAAGTGAATGGACAATTCTTCATAAAATTTAACTCCTTTATATTTGAGTGGAATCAAGGTACAATATTTTAACATTAAATTTATACTACCTTTATTCACAAAGACATTTCTTTAAAAGAGAATCTCGCTAAATCATGAAAATTATAAATTATGTAAGTACAGTCAACCCTCACAAAGCAACCTAGATAGGGGCCAGACAAAAATGTTGTCTCAAAGACTCCAGGATTATAACCCAAGATGCAGTCTGGGTTACTATTCCATATTTAATGCACAATTTTTTTTAATGTGATAAGCATCACTATAGAGTGTATTCTTATGACATTGGCTTCCCTCCAATTCTCTCTCTCACTTTGTACCATGCCCTCAGCTTCCTAGTTCAGGTGGGTCACAGATAGTAATTTCCTCAAGTAATGTCTTTTACATTATGATTCATAATGTAGGAACACTTGCTAATGAGGCCAAGAAACAGCAAAAATAAAGGAAATGAGAAAATGAAGCCATGTTTTGATTGTCATCTGCAGCCTTGATTCAAATTTTTCAAAAACTATTGGCACTGACTTCAGCCATTGCATAACTATAGATTGAGCACTTTTTTGTAAATAATGTATATTACCACTATACTAGAACACAACTGAATTGTCTGTACAAAGTATACTTGTTATGATGGCAAGGCAGCTTGCCACCCACCAATCTGCCCGTAATCTCTGCTGATGATTTCTCTCCCTCGCATTTACTTATCAAATATAGCTGTAGGCATGACACATTAAGTATTAATAGCTGTTAACGAGAAATGTAACAGCAAAAACAATCAATGAGCAATCTAACTAACTCTCGTTTCAACACCACTTCATGCCCCTGGCTGCCGTATAGCTAAAATTAGAGATTAAATAATTTTGCTAACACTACCACTAATGTGTTCAAGCACTTTTTTTTGAATGTAATACTAATAAACCATGTTGTCCAATTCTTTTGAATTATCTATAGATAGTGGCTGCAGCAGTGTTAGCATGGGAGACACTAATGCTCATTGCATAAAAACACCCATACACTACTACAGCTCTTCTCAGGTCATCCCCAGTCATTCTAATCACCCTTTGGTACCTGTTTTCATTCTAATTCTTTTCACCCACAATATTTGTATACTTACCTGAACTTGCTCAACAGTGACTTTTATTGATTTGTGAGGCTTAGACAGAGCAACTTCCATCTCTCGTGTGCGGTGGATCCATTCCACATCTTCAAATGCCCTTGAACATCCCACTAATTGCTGGCCAGGGTAGAAGTCATATCTCCGAAACTCTGAATCCTAGAAATATCAAATAAAAAGGCATGAAACAATCAGCTTTTAATAAATTCATTTTTTTTATTTTATTAACACATCGGCTGTCTCCCACAAGGCAGGGTGGCCTGAAAAAGAAAAACTCTCATCATTCACCCCATCACTGTCTTGACAGAAGTGCACTTACACTACAGTTATAAAACTGCAACATTAAGTCTCCTAGGCATTGGTAAGGCTAACTTATGGAAACAGGAAAGTCAACACACTTACTAAAAGTCACTCTAGATTTTGGGGTAGAGGACACACGTCCATGCCACGAAGCTTACAGTCAAGTTCTCAAACACTGTCTGTTGGATTTAACCCTTTGACTGTTTCAGGGCCCTGTCTGAAACTGTCATTCTATGTCGCCAAATATTCGAAAAAAAAAAAATTATTTTTTCTTATGAAAATGTTAGGAATATTTTTACTAGTGTTTTAAGCCTAAAAAAAAATTTTGCCATCAGTACTTACCGAGATATAGAGCCGCAAAGTTTGCAGAAATCGACGTGCGTATGGCAACAGCGGCGACTGCCGCCCGCCCGGTATTCTTTTATTTACTCTAATTCAAAGGTTTCTTGCATTTTTCAATATTTTTCTTTTCCAGGTAACTTATGTGGCCTGTGAGACCAATGTAAGGTGCATTGTTCAAATATACACTCATTATTTACAACACAATAACAGAACAAACTTTATCACTATTAGTTTGTGTATACACTTTGTTTACACAAACAAACAATACAAAACAATGTTTATTACTATTGTTCCATAATATATATACATATGTACAGTCACTAACCACGTTCCTAGAACTGCTGCAGCTTGTGGAACTCTTTGAAACATGGGTATATGCAGAGGGGCACTTCACACTCCTCACACATAAAACGAGTGTCTGCGTGTTTGTGGGCGTTTTGTGGTATGCATACATACATAACACCTCTTCTGAGCATTTTTCTTGGCAGTAGTAGGAGGCAGTTGTATGGGGTAGTGATCACCAGGCCTCAAAACGAGATGACGTCTGTGGGCGCTGGTCTATTGCAGGAGTTGCTCCTTTGTACTTTGCAATTATTTGTCTGATTACTGACAGGCAAAATTCACCATATTTTGGTGTTTTGTTGGTCTTCAACTTGTATATGTTATAAGCATTTAGCATAGAGATATCAACAAGATGGAAAAAAAGTTTGATATACCACTTATAAAATCTTGCATACACAGTCTGCAAACCCAATCTGCATGTCACATTTGTCCACTAAGCGCATATTGAGGTTGTAGTCCATGACAGCTGCAGGCTTTAGAATGGGTTTTATTGGTCTCTCTGTTGTCCCTGCCACTGGGTACCATTTCGTTTGTGTGAACTGATGTCAACAATGTGACATCACGTTGTCATGCCACCGAAATGCCATGATGTCATTGGCAGCAAAGGCTTGCACCTCACCTCTGCGAGTGCCAGCGTCGAACCTTGGCATATGTTTGCGATTACCACGCACTGGCCACACACGTCTGTCAAGTTCACTTTGCAAGAAATCACTGAGTAAGGGGCTTGTGTACCAGTTATCAGTAAATAACATATGCCCCTTACCAAGATATGGTTCCATCATTGTTCGAACCACATCACCAGAGATACCCAATAACTTCATGGTATCTCTCAAAGTATTACTGCCAGTGTACACAATAATATCTAAAACAAGACCACTTCTGCAATCACACAGTACAAATAGCTTTATACCAAAGCGTTTCCTCTTGCTTGGTATATATTGCTTGAATGAGAGTCTTCCTTTGAATAAAATCAAGGACTCAAACAATAACAAGCTTCCTGAAGGGATAAAAATACATGCAGCACTTTTGTTTCAGGTACATAAACACATTTCTTATCTTATATAACCTGTCGCTTCTGTCAGGCCTGGTTTTGTCTGAAAAGTGTAACATACGCAACAGTATCAGGAAACGATTGACACCTATAATGTCACTAAAACCTGGGGTTGAAATCAGGCGATCTGTTGTCCAGTATGTGGTGACAGTGTGCTTATACACATGTGGCATAAGCATTATTGTGGCAAAAAACAGGTACATCTCTGCCACAGTTTGTCTCCTTCCACTTGTGTAGCCGTGATTTTGGTGAAGAATTGTATTTGCCATGGTGTATTCACAGTATGTGTTGGTTTCCCTGACAATGATGTCCATCAGGGGTTCATCGAAGAATAACTCAAAGCAGTCCAGTTCACTGGCATTGTTCCCAAGTGGACAAGATGGCTTTATTCCACTTTGTGTTTCATCAAAGTCATGGGGACTGGGAAACAAACTCGTCACCGTCCTGCCAATCCCAGATGCGTCTGCTGGTGGGGTCTGGATATTGTACCGTGGTTGTGGCTGTGTTGTGGCTGTGCAGGTTGTGGTGGTGCAGGTTGTGGCAGTGTGGGTAGGGTGAGGCTGGTTCTTCTGCTGAGTCAGCCGCGTGGCTAGTAGCGTGGCCCGGTGATGGTGCCACATGGCCGTGCCACCCTCACTATCACCACCACTGCCTACTCCCTCACTGTCACCATTCATACCCATCGTTACAATAATCATCATCTTCACTATCAGGTCGTGGTGTTGGGCCACGGGATGTGCTCCCAGAGTTTCTCCTTCCCCTTGGAACAACATATGAAACACTACCAGACCGCATGCTACGTCGTACATACTGGCGCTTCACTGGGGAATATTCACTCTCACTGTCACTAGAACTGCTTTCAATGACCTTGAAATCACTATCACTATCACTATCACTATCACTGCTTTTCATCAGGGTGTTGTACACGACCAAATAGTTTCCTCTTTCGTCCTGGTACAGGCGAAGGTGAATGTGAACAAGCCGGCACAGCACCAGAGGTCGAAGGTTGTGGTCATCTGGGTTTTCGTCACTATTTACGTTATCCTGGGCACTTTTTCGGTAACACTCACTTGAAAACCCTTGAATTCACTGTCACTGACATTTTCATCGCTGTTAGAGCTATCACTTGGGAACAAAAGACCTCCAATCCGCCGAGGAGTGAGGAACTTCTTACCGAGAGGCATGGTGAAAATGGACTGACAACATGGCGTTCCCACAATGCACCGCTAGGTCCGAGATTTTTTTCACAGGGTGCACACCGACCACTGAGACTCATTCTCTCCCGTGTAGGCCTACCAGGCCTTTGGCGCGCGATTTGAAGCCGCTAGAATTTGTGCGTATAAATACGTCAGAAACATTGGCTCGTAAGACGTATTTATACGTCGGAAACAGTCAAAGGGTTAAGTGAGTTTTCAGGAGTCGTCATTAAAGTGTGGAAAAAATCACAATACTTTAGCCAATTCTGTATGTCTTCAGCAATATAGCAAGGAGCACCATCTTCCATGCAAAAGTTGCCCTAGCACTTCTCAAATCTATCAGACAAATAGTCTGCTAGAGGTGCACATATGAGTATGCATATTATGCACACTATTTCATTAAAGATCTGGTAGCTAAAATAGAAAACTAAGAAAGACATGAAATTATCAATAACAAGCAGGTTTTATAATAAACTGAAATAAAAATTTAATAATAAAGCATTTTACACAAATACATGTATGCATGAAAAAGCCTTTACCAATAACAAATAATGTATTATACTAAGGGACAAATAGTACATTTAAAAACATATCCAAAATGTCTGTATAGTATAACTAAATACACATGAAGAATATTAAACTAAAAAGTACACAAAAAATAAAAACAATTTAAAGCTCAATAACTTTTAGTTGGTTTATAAACATATCAAGTGAGTCTGGTTGCCATTTTTTTTCCTTTTACTACTAAATACTGAACCCAATATTTAACATACTCACTCACTCTCGCTCTCTCGCTCACTCTCTCCTCCTCTCTCTCTCACCTCACTCTCACACTCTCTCTCCTCTCATCTCTCTCCTCCTCTACTACTCACTCTCACACGCACCTCACTCTCACTCTCACACTCACTCTCACACTACTCTCACTCCCCTCACACTCACTCTCACACTCACTCTCACTCACTCTCACACTCACTCTCACACTCACTCTCACCTCACTCTCACCTCACTCTCACACTCACTCTCACTCACTCTCACTCTACTCTCACTCTCACTCACTCTCACTCACTCTCACTCTCACTCACTCTCACTCACTCTCACTCACTCTCACTCACTCTCACTCACTCTCACTCACTCTCACTCACTCTCACTCACTCTCACTCACTCTCACCTCACTCTCACTCACTCTCACTCACTCTCACTCACTCTCACTCACCCCTTCACTCACTCTCACTCACTCTCACTCACTCTCACTCACTCTCACTCACTCTCACTCACTCTCACTCACTCTCACTCACTCTCACTCACACTCCACTCACACTCACTCATGACCTCTCTCATCACACTCTCATCACTCTCACTCACTCTCACTCACTCTCATTCACTCTCACTCTCACTCACTCTCACTCACTCTCACTCACTCTCACTCACTCTCACTCTCACTCTCACTCACTCTCACTCACTTCACTCACTCTCACTCACTCTCACTCACTCTCACTCACTCTCACTCACTCTCCACTCACCTCACTCTCAATCACTCCTCACACACTCATCACTCACTTCATCACTCTCACTCACTCTCACTCACTCTCACCACTCTCACTCTCACTCTCACTACTCTACTCCACTCTCCACTCACTTCACTCACTCCACTCACTTTTTTTTCCTCCACTCACTCTCACTCTCCTCTCACTCACCTCACTCACTTCACTCACTCTCTCACTACTTCTCACCACTCTCTCCACTCTTCACTCTCTCACTCTATCACTCTCTCCACTCTCTTCACTCTCTCACTCTTCACTTCTCTCACTCTTCTCTCTCTCTCTCTCTCTCTCTCTCTCACTCTCTCTCTCACGCGCGCACGCACACACGCACGCACACACGCACACACACGTGCACACACTCGTGGAGGGGTCACGAGGTTTGGCTGT